TTATGATACGAATAAGAAGAGGCAGCTTTTAAGGAAAGGTTTCAGTTCATATATAAATAAGAAGCAAACACTGCTAACCTTGTATATAAACAAGAACTTACACTCCACATCAGAATGTGCTTCACTATATCAGAGTGACACACAACAACTCACTACAGATCTCAGGTGTAACTGACTAGCCTAGAAAGTATGCACTTGTCGCTGGCCTTATACGGCATCATTCACGAAGCACCTATGGGACAGTTTATGTGAACCAATAGGAAAGCAGTAGTACTTCCTATGATTCATGCTTGCTGCTTCAGAGAATGGTCACATTCACATAATGCACTCAAACAGCTCAAAAATCAAACTCCAACAGAAACTCTGATACAAATTGTTCCCCAGTGTATTTTATAAGAACATATTTTATAACTTTTACTCTTTGGAGGAATTTAAAAATTAGAATTTTATAAGGTGAACACATTTTCAGGAGGGCAGAGCAGGACGCAAGGATCCAAATTTGGGTGGTCAGAGAGGGCCGAAGCTCCCCCCCTGTAATGGCCAAAGTCCATTGATTGTGATAAATCGTGTGGTACGCAAAGGTACCTTCTGTAGCAGCCAGCTGAGCTTCCTTTTCACCTAACTCAGATCTTGAAAAATATTTTATAATTATACCTGGCGATGCTGACAATTTCAGGACGTTTTTGTGATGATCTGTATTCAAATGCTTTATTATATCTCCATGGCTGCTGTTAGTGATGGAGAAATGTGATCCATATTTGTCGCACGTCACTATCGGTGTTTCTTCTAACCTTCTTTATAAATGGAAACTCACCTTGTAATTCCTCGTTGAATTTCAACTTTTGTTTTGCCATGATTGATGCTTAATGGAGACTCAGGTAATGTCACTCACATAAGGAAGAAATAAATAACTACCGAAACACGACAATCATGCGCACAAACCACCTTAGCCAAAGAACATCTATGTAAAGAAGGAAAGGTTCCATAACCAGTTTGCTATTACGTCGCTAAAAAGCGGAGGGAAAATTCGGCAAGAGATTTGGCGACGTACTTGTGGTGAGAACCTCCACGATGTTTACAGGAAATTGAGGAACACGGTGTTAAGAAAAAATTTTCTTTGCCAAAGTGTTTCTTTGACTTTTTGGGATAATTTAAATTCAGATTTTTGCACCTTTTTTTTTGCTCAAAATAACTAATCCATTAATTAATTTACTTGTGTGAAAAAATATTTTCTTTTCCTTTAAAGTTTAAAGAAATTTAAAACGATATTCGTTTTATGGACTCTTGATAAACGTGACCTTCGAACTTGGAAGCTGGCTTGGAGCTTTGGCAACAAATATTTCACGCATGCTATTTCTTTGCCACCAACGTGGTCGCCGCCCGCGTTTCTGAGTGATAACATCATAGCTTTATCAAAAGCATCAGCGTGGGGTCACCAATATGCTGTGGCGCCCAATTCGAGTTAATTGACGTTAGGAGTCTCTTTTGCAGAAAAGCGGGACAAGCGAGGTACCTCGGGACATGAAGTCTGAAATCCGGACTGCCCCGCCTAAATCGGGACGTCTGATCACCTTAAATTTTATATTTATTTCAAAGGAAAAAAACCTGATGCTACCTTTACAAAAATCCTGTATGAATACTAAAATTAAAATATACATTAAATTTACTGTTCCTTGTTAATTGGTAAACACCTTTTCCTTTATACTGAAAGTAAATTAAACTATTATGATTCGTGTCTATAACTTCCTTTCACAGTTTTAACATAAAATAATATAATAAAATAATATTCTAAATAATTATTTAGTGCCTCAGCTCTTAAAAAATACTCTGAATGATTATTAAGACTATTTAAAAGTTAAGAACCATTCAAGAAGACATGGTCAAAACTATTTTCACTAAGAATATTCTATTATCATTTCATTAGTCATAACAGATGCACCTTCACTTCACATTAGATGCACACTTTAAAGCAGGGTTTCTTAAATTTTTTCAGTCGTGATCCTTTTTATCACCGAGATTCTTTCGTGACCCCCAGGATCCCATAATATTTACGAAAATTTTCTGGCACCCATAAGCATTGCACAAATTCGACACATGCGTGTGTGAAACTGTCAATTTTTTCACTTGTAATGTAATATAATATTGCAGTTTTAGGTCATTAACTTTAATTTCTAGTTTTAAGACATAGAACAATTGAAATTTTTAAGTAAGTAACAGATGAAATGGCAGCATCACGTGCAAAGCAAATAAAAAGAATGTTTCTATTATAAAAGGAATTTCCCTTTTTTGTCTGTATTGTCTTATCTTTATCTATTTTCAGATACATTGTGTAAAAATATTTGATAATTGTAAAATTATTATAAGTTAAAGAAATATCAAAACTGCTAAAATTTTTGGCAAACCCCTGCTGCAGGTCCCGCAACCCCCAGGGGCATGGCGACCCACAGTTTAAGAAACGCTGCTTTAAAGCATTATATATGGATTGTATTTTAATGACAGTTTTCTCAAAAATGTAATTTAAATATACTGCCATTATTTTAATAATACTGTAATAATGTTATTACATTTGTTAAACAATATTGCCATGAAGTTCACAATCACGAAATATTTTTGTAGACAAATTCACTTTGAAATTTCCAAATTTGATAGGTCACCAAATTTGTCACAGCACAATGAAGAATTCACATAGCTGAAAGAGAAAAACGTTGTTTTCGGATCTATAAAAAAATGAACTTGAACAACAACCCAACTGTCTACAAGACATGCCAAGAATGTGCTTTATATGGTAAAAAATTGACAATTTTTAGTTTTTGCAAAAAACTGCGAAATTTATAAAAAAATTATTCCATGCATGAGATTTCAAAATTAGAAAGCAATTTAATAAGAATTATGATGAATTCATGAAAGTTGACAAATACGCATTAATTGAGGTTCTATAAATTTTACTAAAATCTACAGTCCAACAAAAAAATTGCCTCAGCAGCCAATCATCATCGCCAAGACCTTTTAAAAATTTTTTATTTGACTGGTCATTTCTTTGCCAAAGGAATATTCTAGATTTTCCCCACTATACTTAGTGGCACTGATGTAAGGGCAGTTGAACTCTTCACAGAAATATATGACCCTTTAGTATTCTAATACCAGAAGACTTTTTCAGAACATCCTCCCCTTTCCAAATTTACTGTTGATGTCTTTTGTCCATCCCTTGAAGAATTTCTGCACCGATAACAGCAGGTGGAAGTGTGACCTTCATGAAGTTCAACCTTTGATATTTTTAAGGTCATCATTTTGTCACAGTAGATTGAAGCCAAGGCGGAAATGCAAGAACTTTTTTCAAGCAGATAAACAATATTCTCATTGATAAGATATTTTGAAAAGTGACATGGACCACCTATCAGGCAATCCCACCTCTTGTTTTAGTGTGGTTGATGTTCCCAATTGTTTACAACAGCAATTTGCAATTGATCCATTACAAGCTGCATGATTTCAATTTTATATTCACCCAAAATTTTAACTCAGAACGGTAGTCACAGAAAAGATATGAATATGTCAAATGAGCAAAATTAAGGATTACTTGTGAATCTGGGGCAAAATTTAGGACTTCCAAGGGCCAAAAATTATTTTTAAATAGCTGAGAACTTCTAAGAACCGTAGAAATCCTGTTTTACACTAATGCCTTTCAATGTTATGCACTCTTCTTTTTGAAAGGTAACCAAGATTTAGTTGATGCACTAATAAAATGGGAAAAAGTTAATAACATATGAACCAGTGAAAATAAATTATACTATTGATCAAGTTTATAGTCGATAACATCTACTGTAAAAAACTGGATTTGCTCTCTTCATTAAATCAAGGAAGAATGTCTTAAAACCCTTAAAGTTGATTTTTACATCTATCTTTCAACTGACATGCATAATATATATATAGTTGTGACAGTAAAAACCCAGTTCCCAATATCTGGTAATTTTTTTTTTTTATTATTATTATTATTTTTTTTCCCTACAAGTTAGCAATTTAATTAAGAGTTAAAGTGAAAGAAGATCTATATATATTCATTATTCTGAAAATGATCACAAAATATTTATCTCATGGATTGATACTAATCATATTATTAAAATATTATGAAGTTCCTTGAAATTCATTTAAAGATTTCCAAAGATTTTAGCTTTCTTAGATTTCATAAATTTTAGTAATTAAAACAATTTACAGAAAAGTATGATAAATTAAAGTTATACTATAAAAAATACAATATATTTCAACAGATTTTTTTTTTTTTTTTTTTTTTTTGAATACTTGTGTCTTATCTCAGACCACAAGCTTTATCTGGTCACAGAACAGATATTTATCACATGGATTAATTGTGATACTAATCAGATAATTCAAATATTCTGAAGTTTCTTGAAATTAAGTTTCTAGCTTTCTTAGATTTGATAAATTTCAGTTATTAAAACAATTTACAAAGTATGATACAAAAGTTTAAAGTTCTACTACAAAAAATGCAAAATATTTCAACAGAATTTTTTATATATATACTTGTCTTATCACAGCACAGGAGCTTTCATAGATAAAAAAAAAATAACTTTGAAATATATATGTCTTAGTATTCCATTCAACTCTTAATTTAAGAATGTTCTTTAAGCACATAATCAATCCTTCTACATGTTTGCAACTTGCTGCTTTTGCATGGGTCACTGGAATTTACCAAACAGTGACACAGATGTGGTATAATTCAAATAATATTACATTCTAACAATTATTTTCAATCAATATTGCAGGTGACAGCTAAGCAGTATCTATCAGAGAAAAAAATTATGCCAACCAAACTTCCATCCCAGTTACTTTCATACTAGATAAAGTAATGAATATTCAGATGAAAGTCCAGATTACCAAGGTACTTAATAAAGCTCCCAATTTAAGGTAAGATAAAAGTACTTCACTTTCTATTACATGTAATTAAAAGTATACAATATCATTCAACTTAAAGTAATTTAAAGTCTCACCTAAGTAGTTTGCTTTCTGAATATTTACATCAAAAAAGAAAGGATTGTGATATGTATCCATTTTTACAGCAGATCTCTGTGTAGTCACATAATGGATTCCACTGTCAATTACTATTATCCTATATAAGATCATCAACCTAAAATATACATGAAAATTAAGTTAGTTAAAAAAAATCTGTTTATCTTACAAATAAAAAAACTTGTGCATTTTGATACAACTAGTGTAGAAACAATCCTAGAATATAAATGAAAAGTGCAAATTTATTACAAAATCACATTAAATATCTAACATTAAATATTCACATCCAAGATGGTATAAATGGGCCTCTAACTTACGGCACTATTAATATAAATCTGGAAATGTTTGCATAAAATATTTTATGTACTTTGACTATAACCTGTATATTTTAAATAACTTCTTTGTTGCTGTATTTATACAGCATCTAAAATAGTATTAATTCTCCACAAAAATAATATAAAAACTATACAGTAGTTATTTCAGTATACTGTTCCAAGAAAAAATTATAAAAAGAGGAAGTACACTATGTGTCCCTTTCATAAAAGAAATATCAAATCAAACCTAACAAAAGACTTTCAATACACTGAAGTGCCAAAAAAAAACTGATACAGGTAAGGCAATGCAGAATTTGACATAACATTGGTTGCATCCGCTACTGGATTATGCATATCATTAGTTGCATCCACCATCAAATATACAAAGTGAAAAACGTCTGAGGGTGCCTCTAGATTTATTTTCATATTTCAAATAGTGGGAAATTACTATTTAAGCAATAAGGCCAACAGTTTGGCCATACCCAACATTAATGTTTCAGCACAGCAAAATGTGTAAAGTGTGATCGAAGCCAAATACTGATTGCACTCTGAAAAAAGAAGGCAAACACATCTGCCTTTACTGACAAGGCCAACATGTTAGTAGTTAAAAGGAATAACCAAAAATTATGAAGACTCTTCAGAGAAACTAATCCGGATCCACGGATGAAGGAAATGACCCCTATACAAATGAACATTTATCAGCACTGACGAAAAGACTAGCACAAGCCTGTAATGACTTCTCTTAGAAATCAAAAGGCCTTCGCTAAAATATATGCTTAAAATACTAAACTGCCTGAAATAGCTTATTAGGTATTTCTCCTGCCTTCTTAGCATGCCTTCGTGGCATAATAATTTCTAATTGTATTCTGGGTTGTATTTTCCATCTTTTTGTAATAATTTTTATCGGATTACATCAAACGAAAACGAGTTTTTGATGCTGTTTATGATTATAAGCATTTAAACTGCTTGATGTACACTTGGTGCATACTCGAGATGTCCGAGGTTCGAGTCCCGGCGGGGGCATGGCTCATTTTTAGCAACTCTTGCTTCTAATTACCTAATGTTTCTACAGCAAAGCCCAAACTAAACAAAAAGTGGTGGATGATGATTCTCCACCACCAGGATTTAGCAATTAAATTCCCTAACATCCAGTCACCCTCTAAAAGGAAGAGTATATAAGGTATTTTTCCTACTTCTTAGCAAGCCTTCGTGGTGTAATAGCCAGCATACTTGGCGCATATTCAAGAGGTCTGAGGTTCGAGTCCTGGTGAGGGCATTGCACATTTCTCATGTCTCCTTCTACAAGATAACCTATCTCTACAATGGTGCTTGAACTAAAATTTCTTCCTCTTCTCATTCATCAAAACCCAAAGAGATGTGAAGATTTCAAATGACATAAATTCGGCCTCCTAACAAATAAAGATAGTAAACCACAAATACTTTTAGAACAAGTTGTCTGCAAAAACTGATACAATTCATTTGGGAACACTGCACCTGTCACTGCATAATGGAAGGGAAGAAAACAACATCGCAATCTGGGACGTTTCAGGACGTTGCAGTCGTCTGAATGAAAGGTCGTCTCGATCCTTTTGGTCTTCAAAGAGTTAAAAGTAACCATAAGGGTCATATCAAGAATCTAGAAATGGTTTAAAGATACTGGGGATGTATGCAAATAAACAAGTCAAGGTTCATAACAAACTCTCAGCACTGTTATTTGGCAACAGTGACTAAAAGAAATAGACAACTGACATCAGCCCATATTACAAGGAAGTTCACTGCAGCTACAGGAGCTTGATAATCTAATATACCGAGAGCGATAGGCTGCATAAAAGAGGGCTGTATGCAAGGAAGCCCATGATTTGTATCACAGAGACTCAGGCTGTGAAATGCACCTGGATACAGTGGTGAATCGATGCAGTTGCCAGAACTTCATAAGATGAGTGTAAAAATACCACCTTTTTGGATGGATAAGCCAGATACATATTCCCCCCCCCCAAGTTGAAGTGTAGTTCAAAATCAGTAATATTGTTTTAGAAGAAACAAAATTTAAATATGTAGTTTCACAGCTTGAACAAACCTAAGTTCGAAAATATTTGGGATACTGTAATGAGCAAAAGTGACAAAAAATATTCAGATGCTAAAACTAGGTTATAACATTTATTTAAGGATAGTGAAAATGAACGAATTAAACATTTGATTACTGGTGCAAAGCTTGGAGACATGAAATCAAGCCAACTTTTCCAGATACTGAGATCAGTTGCTGCTATAACAGATGTGTCTGAAAATTTAATCAAAACATTATGGCATAAGAAGCTACCTGGTTCAATAAAAAATAAATTATTAGTTGGTAATGAAAAATTAACCAAGTTAGTGTCTATGGGAGATAAAATTAGACATATGAATCAAAAACCAGAAGTATTTAGTGCTAATGCTTCTTCCATTCCCGTAAATGATTTATCGCAAAAAATTGAATCTCTTGAACAAAAAAATCTATCTAATAACCATTTGATCAAGACACAGGGACTTGGATTCACTTAATTCCCATTCAAGATATTGAAGCCGATCTCGTAATCGATATGATCGAACTGGCAAATTTTGTTTCTATCACTTTTGATTTGGAGCAAAATGCATTCCAGAGAAATGTCAACCACCACGTGCTTGGGTAAACAACAATTCCAAAAACCAGGAAAATTCGAATCTGCAGTAGGTTCAGCGGCAAACTCGTCTGCAGAAAATATGAAGGATTGTCACAAATTTCCATTTATTCATTCATGACCGAAGATCAAATTTGCACTCTCTTGTCGATAGCGGAGCTGCCGTAAGCATAATTCCAGCTACTTTTAGAGTAAATATAAAACTGAATACAAACTGTATACAGCTAATGGCATATATACCTCAATATATGGGATAAAAATGCTGACTCTTTATTATTACGGTATAAGATAGGCTAAAATTATCTAATTATCTATTTCAGTTAATGTTGCAGATTGCATTGTTCCTTAATCTTCTAATTGGATCCGGCTTATTATTTTTTGCAGACTGTTAGAGCAATTTTATAAAAAGTAAGCTTGAACTTTCGATTATATCAAAAAGAGTTTCCAATTCTGGAGCTGCCAAAGGATCCACAAAAGTGATCTACAAAGTGAAAGCATGTTTCGATGTCTATTAAGCAAAAAGTGGAATTGCTGCAAAATATGGATAAAGGCATGAAGAAAGTGACAGAGAGGTGATTTGCTTCTCTAACCATTCCGAAATCTGTTTATCAATTTCACGCTGCTCTGCCGGAGGGGGGGACGTCGTGGCACGCAATGAACTGGAAGTTGATCTGTCAGCACTATCCTCATCTTCAGAGCTGATGTTTTTATTTTACTCGGCTAATAAGTCCTTACTAAATGCAGTGCTTCATCTTGATGTACTCCGATATGATTTAAATCAATTTCTTCGTCATTATAAATATCATGAATACACAATAGTTTTCTGTTTGCAATTTTCTAATTTCGACTATGCGTAATGTATGCTTTACGCATGCGGAACAGCAGAACTTTCAAATTTTTGAATATATCCAGTCTTAGAGTCTGCTAAACACCACACCTTGTAACCTCCTTTTATAGGCTTCATTGGCATATACTGCTTCAATGAAGTTCTCCCTTTGAAAGCTATCATACATTCATCTATTCATAATGTTGACGAAGGTTCGTAGACTTTAGGTATGGAATCATTGAGCTGTGAGAGGATGCCTGACTTTATGGAGTTTATCATGCCCAAATTGCCCACATGGATTTGTGCTGTTATCGTTTACATGTAAAGTCTCAGTTATTTTTTGAACCTCTTTGCGATTATTATTCTTGCTACTGATTGAACATTGAGAATAGGGTCTGTGCTCCAGTAGTTTTTCAGTTCAGGCAATTGATGTATACCCATGAGTATATGCATACCTACCCATGCTTTCAATTCTTCTGATGTGATTTCTTTCCAGTTCAGGATAATGTCTTTTGTGGTATGACCCAATCTCTTCCTTTTCTTAGGCTGCTTTGCATATGAGTTTGTTTCGTCAACAATATTCTGTAAAATTTCCTCGGTAAAAATCATGCCAAAATAATCCTTTTTTTCTCAGTAGAATTGAATGATATTTTCAAATGTATTTTCAAAAATATTCTAATTTTTCCAACATACCTATTGCACGTGGCTTTTATACATGATGCAATAGCATTTTCACTTTTCACCCATTATTTATTATTCAATATTAGATAGTTACTGCAGAAATATACAAAATAAGAAAACGTTATTATAATAAAAAAAAACAGTGTTTTACTTACATTTGTAGCAGAATCGTATAGCAATGCAAATGTCAAATCAAAACAGGTGTCTCAGTGGAACAGATCTCACACAACGCGTTCGAACTTTCAAAACAAATGTGGTAATTCTGTTTTCAATCGATTGAACACAGATGGCAGCACAATACTGAAGTGGGAATTAGAGTTCCCAACATTATAATAGCAAAGCCAATATATTATAGTGGGTTTTGCACTTCCCACAGGTGTATTTCCCAGGAACATGTAGGTGGGAAGTAACCTTCCCACGGCCCACAAAAGGGTTAAATCATCAGCTAATTTTCCACCAAGAAGCAATGGTAATTGGCTTTTGGAAGTTTTATGTACAGGGGAAACCGATTCTTCCTTCGATTAAAATGTACAATTAGGCATTTTTTCCCTGAAAATAAAGCCATACTTGCTAACCTATAATACTCAAAAATCAGATTTTTTTTAAGAAATCAGGAGATTTTTCACAATGTTAAAAAGACTTT